AGGGCGACGCGTCAGCGGAAGAGGGAGGGGGAGATGGAGGTGCGGGAGGGGGGGGGGAGAGACGAGGGAAGGAAGAGAGGGGCAGAGGCGGGAGGAGGGTGTGGGCGGCGGGAACGGGCGGGGCCTTACATCAAACAGAAGGAATCTTGAAAGGGTGGGTGGGGGACCGGCCGGGGGTCCGGCACGGCGAGGCGGCCCTCCGGCCGAAAAGCCTGGCCCCCCCCCCCCCCCCCGGCCCCCTCCCCCTCCGGGGCGCAGCCGCCCCAGTGTGGCCGGCAGCTGGTGGCCCGGGCCCCGACAACAGGTCTGGCCGGGGGCCGGGGCCAAGTCCCCTGCCCGGGGTGGGCGCGTGTGTTATGGCGCGCGCGCGCGCGCGCGGGTGGGCGGGGAGCACACCGGGCCTTGTGTGCGCCGGCGCCAGGGCCCGAGAAGAAGGGCACGCCGGCGCCCCCCCCCCCCTCCCCGTGCCCGCTCTCGCGCCCGAATGGCTGCCGGCCGCGGCCCGCCCCGGGGGTGCGGCGGGCGCACGGAGAAGGGTGTGCGCGCTCCCCTCTGGTCTACGCGCTTTACGGGAACCCCCCACCTGTGCACGCCGGCCGGCTTGCGTGTCCCGATGCACCACCCCCTCCCTGGAGAGAGAGAGAGAGAGGCCGTGGGAGGGGCCCGGCTCCGGGCGGCCACGGCCGGGCTGCGGCCGCCGCCAGCCGGGGCCAGGGTCGGTGGCCCCCCCCCCCCCCGCCCCCCCCGCACGCCCAGGCGACGAGGCCGGCCCTCTCGCTCTCCGGAGAAGGGGGCTGGCCGGGGGATTAGATAATTAGCCGCGATGAGAGAAGGAGAGCGAGACAGAGAAAAGCACCCTGGCACACCAAACTCCCAGGCAAGCGGCAGGCGAGAGGCGGGAAATATCGATGGCTGGAACATTCGTGCTGCGCGGTGGCCGCCGCCCGGCAGTTGACTGAGGGGGGGGGGGGGGCGGGGTGAGCGCACTGCCCAGGCGCGCATGCATGGCAAGAGCGCCGGAGGCCGCGCCCCCCTCCCGCCGGGGCCAAAATCAAAATAACACGCCAGTCTGACCACCACGGCCTGCTGACCCGGCCCCCCCGCCCCCCCGCCCAGGGCGTGGCCAGCCGAATGCGACAGATGCGGCGGCCCGGGCGCAGGCGCGGGGGGGGGGGGGGTCCGAACTGCTCCGTTGGCCGAGAGTGTGCCCAGGGTCGGATGGGCGCGCGATCGCTCCCCGGTCGCGCACGCGCTGGGACAAGTACCGGCGCCGGTGCGCCGCCCGTCTCGCGGGATCCGCCTCGGGCAGGGCTTTGTCGCCCCCCTCCCCGGCCTTCCCCCGGAGAGGCGCACATGTGCCCCAAAAGCGGAGCGGTCGCCCGCCCCCGTGAGCCGGGAACAACGGCCGCGCGCGGGGGGCGGGGGGGGGGGGGGGCGCGAAAACACGCGCAAGAACAGTGAAGAGGCCGCCGAGGCCCGGGCCCCGGGGCCGACTCGGCGGCCCGCGCGCGGCCGAGGGGGGGGGGAGGGATATATACAGGGGAAGAATATAAAAGCCTGCTTTGTTTACGCCTCGGCGGAAGAAGCCTCCACGGCCCCGGCCCCGTTCCGGGTGCCTTTGCTCCCCCGCGCGCGGCAGGTGCGCGGCAGGCGAAAGCCGACGACTGCGCTTCCCGGCTCACGCCACCCCCTTCCCCCGGGGCAGGAGGGCGCCTTCGGGCAAAGACCCAACAACCAAGTCATGGGTGTGTCTGCCCAGGCCCCGCCCCCCTCCCCGGCCCCTTCCTGCCCGCGCTCCGCCAGCTACCCTTGGTTGCCTGCAGGGCGGGAGGGAGAGGGCCGGAACTTGAAGGGCTCACGTTGAGCGCCGGCCGTGCCCGCACGCGCGTGCCCGAACGCCCCCATCGGCGGTCGGTGCCGTCTGGCCACGACGGGAACGCCCGCCGGGGCGCCGGGCCGCCATCCTCTCTCCGCCCGGTCGGTAGGTAGGCCCAAGTCCCCGGGCTCTGGGGTTGGCCGCGTCGGTGCGCACCAGAACCCGCCCTCCGCACGGGGACCGATCTGAAAGGCGAGACTCACATCACGCCGCACCAACCGTCAATACCATTCCATGATCAGCACTGCGGCGCCGAACGTCACGCGCGCCAGCTCCAGGTGCTCCTAGCTCCTGTAACGCTCTAGATTCCATTCACGTATACGCACGCCGGGGGGGGGGGGGGGGACGGCCGAGGGGCGCTTGCCCGAGAGCCCCTCCTCGGCCCTCTCTTTTGGGCGTGTTCCCGCGGAGGCGCGCGCGCGCGCACCCGAGGACGGCCTCGCCCGGGGGCCCGGTGCGGGGGCTCCCCCGGCTGGAGCTGAGTGTGCGGCTACCCTCTTGTGCGACTTTGGCCTGGGTGGACGCGCTCCCGCCCGGCACTCCCCTCCCCCCCCCCTGCCCCTCTCCTTCCTCCTCCTATTCCCTGCCTCTTCTCCCGGCCACCTCCCTCCTGCGTGTCACCCTCCCCCTCCTCCCCGCCTCCTGACTTGTGGCCCTCGAGACAGGCGGGCGTCTCCCCTTGACCCCTCCCTCCCCCCCCCCACTGCCTTCTCCTCCTCCTACACGCATCATGTCGGCCAACTTCAGCGCCTTCTTCGAGTTCCCCACCCGGGCTGGAGCCGGCGCGCCGCAGGAGGTCATTGTCTTCCCGCTGGCCGACTTGACCAACGACGCGAGCGAGCTGGTGGAGATCCTGCGCGAGGAGTGCCCACCGCTGGGCATCTGGCGCCGCCTGGCTGTACGCGCGAACCCACATGGACGCCTGTCCCCCCCCTCCCCGGCGACGGCTTGTCACCGCCACCTCCGCTGACCCGATCGCCCATCGCCGCCACCGTCCCTCCCTCCTCGCACCCTGTAGCTGGAATTCTGCCGTCGCGGCTTGTCCTCGGCCGCGCAAACGGTCCTGGAGAATGCCTGCGAGTCGCGTGCGTCACGCGTCCCTTGCCCTGTTCCGCCGGCATCCGATCATCTAACCACGTACCGCGGTGGGTGCTTCCTCCCCACGGCGCAGAGTCCTTCAAGAAGTATGTCTTCAACCGCCACGACCCGGCCTCCTATCAGTATAGCAGCACCTCCAGCGATCCGGAGACGACGCACATCTTTTCGGACACGCGCAATGAGCACGTCCTCTCGTTGGTGTCCCTGGGCGCCTCGCTGCTGGCCTCGGCCTCGTCCACCCATGTGCGTTGGTGTCTCCCTCATGCAGCCACACGGGCACAAACCCATCCAAGCCGTCCTACTCCTCCTGCTCCTCCTGCTCCTCCTGCTCCTCCTGCTCCTCCTGCTCCTCCTGCTCCTCCTGCTCCTCCTG